CGAGGCGACGGGCGCGCTCGTCGGCCGGCTCATCGGCGGCGCGCTCAACCCGCTCAAGTTCTGCCAGGAGGCGGTCCTCATCGAGTTCGAGCGGCTCGGCCTCGTCCCAGCGTGCACCGCCATCGTCGCCGCCAACGAGGGCACCGCCGTCGGCTCGCGCGACTGCCGCGGCGGCCAGAACCGGCTGGACGACTTCTTCCCGTTCGACCCGCTGCTCCTCAAGGTCTCCTCCGGCTACGTGCAGCCGCTCTACCAGGTGTGGACCCCGTCGCCGGCGCGCTGCCACGCGGAGCGCGAGAGCGAGAAGTCCGCCCTCTCCGAGTCCCTCGCCTCGGACGCCTCCGAGGTGGTTGGCCGCTCGCTGCAAGGCATGTCCCTCACGCCCGCCGGACACACGCCCATCGACGACATGGAGGCGCTCATGCAGAGGCGATTCGCCGAGCAGGGCCAGCTTCTGCTACAGTACTGAGCGCCCACATTCCCGTGAGACTATGTGGCCTCTCTCCCCGATTGTGCTCGCGCTCGTGTGTCGCGATAGCGCGCGCGCGGCCGCCTGGCCACACGAGTCACGCACGAGCGATCTCTACGTTCTTGTGTGGCCACCCGCCTGTGCTGTGATTTCCTGCAAGCGGATTTATCTCATATGACGCGCACACGAATGCCATGCTGAATGCGCCGCCTCCACCGGATGCGCAAAAGGCATTCGTGAATGTGTCGAGACAGTCTCGAGAGGGTCGAGCACGGACGGCAGCGGAAAAACCGCGAGAAGCAGTGTGCAATCTTTACCGGTATGAGACTGGTATTTGGCGATATTTTGATTAGTTTTGGAGTGGTATGGTATAGTGGTATGCGAAAGTGGTATGCGGGGTTTTCAGTAGTTGTAGCGGCTGTCGGTGTGGTCCCGGGGGCGAAACCATGCAACAGTGCGGGTATTATACCCGGGTATACCCCCGGTTTTTCCAGGTATACCCGCAAAATACCCGGTATTTTGCCGATTTTGCCGATTTTGCCACCAAGAAGGCACTCCGACTCGCTTTGATTTCCGTGAGGCAACTGGTATCCCGTACCACTTTTTGATTAGTGCAGGCCTTGGGTTTGATTAGCCAAAAACTCCCATACCGGTAAAGATTGCACA